CAGAATGCAAAGGAATTGTCTTTGGGATTAGAAACAAGGTCACTGCTTTACCACCCGGACATATTAAAAACAAATGGTTCCTTAGAGCTAAGTCTTTATATCTCTCAGGAGTAGTTTTTGACTTCCAGTGGTGTTTTGGTATTCAATTCTCCTTTAGCTCCCCAGTGCCTCTATTCCTTGCTCAGAAAGCTCTGACTGTGCAAAAATGGGATTCGTCATGTAGAATTTTCTCACAGCAGAATCCAATGATTGTTAAACGGTTGAATCATCGTGTTTCTTCAGAGAAAATGCAAAAAGATATAAAATATTTGAAAATTTATATCAATTTTCTGAAGGTTTTTGAACTTATGCAACTCATTGATGTATTTTGGTTAAAGAATTTCTACGTTTTCCTGCGGAGATTTAAAACACAAATGCAACCTTGCCCCACCTCCTTTTTTAAAAGGATTTACAAATTTCCCATCATCTAACAAACTCTGTAGTCAGGGAGATTAGTTGGTCTGGCATCCATGTAGGGCTTCAATTCAACTTCCTGTATATTTCCCTCGACAGTTGTTTTTCTGCTCTTTCTAGTTCACCTCTACGCTTTTGTTCATCCTTCTTTTCCACCCACACCTCTTAAATTCATTACTAACACATTTACTAACTCTACATGAAACCATTCCTAATAGATCTGATTTGAATAGCTCTAATTATTATGATAGGGATTGAAATATATTTGTATCTCTTTTATAAAATTTAGCATACAGTCTTGGTTTGTAATTCTTTTCATGCCTCTCCCCTCAAATAAATCACAACCTTCTTGAAGACTTCCCTTAAATGTAGTCTTAATTCTGAAAATGTTTAAAAAGAAAATTTGGTCATAGTTAATATGGTAGCTTTAAAGAGAAAAACAAGGAAGTGCTCCCCTTACCTTACCTTTAGCCTAGTGAGAGCATCTTCAAAAAAAGGACTCAGAGAACCAGAGAGGTGTTCCTTATAAGAGGTGGAAAAGGTCAACTGATGAGAGACAGGAAGGGCAGCTGTTGATGGATATGCCAAAGGAGAAGGAGTTTTTTAACCACTTGCGTGAATTTAGCCACTTCATAAGCTTTTGTGCTCACTCTCTTCATCATTAAATGTGGCCCATGTGGATGCAAGGGCAATTCAGCCTGCAAACCTGCCACCCATTGATTTCCAGAGTCCACTTGGCCCATCTGCTGACCAGGCAGGTGTCTCCTTCCTCTCTCAGGGTCCATGTGCATACTTTCCCAAGTTGTGAGTTCTGTGAAAGAGGAGGACATTCCTCACAGGAGGACCGTTCTCCAGTGAAGGATATATGAGCAGCTGTGCACCTGCCCTGCCACTACAGATGTCAATCAACTATCAGGTTTCATAAAATGGGGGTAATAATAATCACCTTACTAGGTAGCCCTATGAATTAAATGTGTTCACACACAAAATATTTAGAATAATGCTTATCACACAAATAGTCTTGGAGAAATTTCATCGTATATCTTATTATGTATTTGTATGCTATACAAGAAATGTAAATTTATATTAATTAATAATGTCTAATGGTTGATGTATTTCTACTAGTAAGATTTTCATGACATATAGGTCAACCTGATTATTCAAAGATTACAGGTATTATTATCTTATGCCTACTTCTTGAATCACTCATAAACTATCTCAAGAATTACAGAAATACTGCTTAAATCTATGAAAGCTGTTCAAATGAAAATATAAACAGGATGTATAGATTAGGCAGCACTAACAAAGACATGTCGTCCAGTTTGGTAAAAGCAGAATGTAAGCTGGATGTGGTGGTACAAACCTGTAATCCTAGAGACTCTGCAGGCTAAGGCAGGAGGATTTCAAGTTCATGGCCAGCCTTAGCAATTAAGTGAGGCTCTAAGCAAGCCTGCATAAAAATAAGAAAAATAAAATAAGAATAACATAAAAAGTAATAGGGATGTAGTTCTACAGTTAAGCACCCCTGGGTTCAACTTCATTTGAACCAATCTGAAATATATTTGTATTCATCTAAGATTGGTGAAGTAGAGTTTCTATCACTATCCCAAATTTTCCTGATACCATCATCATTACTTCCTGTCAAGTTCCCAAAGAATCTCATTTAATTTAACAAAAGCTAAAGTCAAATTGTTTAGCTACTATTTGAAACCAACAATATACTGTACATTGTATTCTCTTTATACAAAAAAAAAAAAGATTGGAAAAAAAATTTGAATTTAGTACAGAAGATTGGATTACTTAATATTAGAAAAATAAAATTCTTTGAAAATATGACAAAAATCTATGAAAATATCCTTTAAATATTATTTTTTAGAAATCACTAATTCAAGAAAAATGCTTCCTTTAAAATTGTTCAGGAAGTCACAAAGCAAATTGAAAAATTAACATACGTCTTGATTTTTTAAATACTTACTAAAATACCTTTCCATACATAAGAAAATTGCCTCCCTCACTTATCTTTTTAACCTTAAGTAGTATGCTTTGAGTTTCTTCTTTTTTTTAATACATCATTTTGGTCATTTGTTTTTAAATAACACTAAATTTATAAAACTTTTAACTCTTTAACCTGATTATAATAGAAATGGTGTTAATAGCTTGGTCTGTTTATTAGAAATTTGAATTGTGGTTTAATTTTTTCCCTGTGACCTAATATTCAAAGTGCATGGAAATACTCAAGACCTATAAAACACTCATGTTTTGAGATCACATTTCTCTGTTCCAAGTGGAGAAAAAAAAATACTTGTTTTGATAATCATTCTCATGGAACACAGTGACACAGAAATCAAGTGTCAGGATCTTTTCATATATCCTGCCTCTTTATATGAAGATCTTCTAATGTAAAACCACAAAGAATATGGCTTATCTGTCTAATTTTTCCATCATAAAAAGGATATAAAGATGACAAGCTTGACCTCAAAATCCATAGCCAGTTTTATTCTGCAGGCAGAATTGGTGAGACAGAAGATAAACTCAGGACAAATTTCACTGCTTACAAAGTTCTGCATATTTATGTCCCTTCCCAATCACATGTTAAAATCCTACCCCAAGTGATGATATAAGGAGAGTGTGATCTCTGAAGTGATGTCTGTCCAGTCATCTTTCTCATTCCTTTTGGAAATATTAGCCCTACTTATTAAAAAACCAAGGACCCTCACCCCCATCCATCTGGTTTGGAAGATACTGTGCCTGTTCCTTATTCCCTGTGGCTTAGTGGGTTTCTCAAGACTGAGGCACCACTAAGCAGATGAACATATCACACAGCACCATCACAGTCTTCTTAGGCTCTTTGCTGGAACTGGGTATAAAGAAACTGTCTGCTTTCCTCTATACTGTAATATTGGGAACATAGGAGCCAGGCGGTTTCAGGAAATACCAACACAGAGAAAGGAAATAAGAGAGTAAGCCCTGGATTTTGCCATAACAAAAATCAGCCCAAGACCTGGACTTCTCGAATGCATGATCCAACATGTTTCTTTTCAGTTTTTGAAATATATTTGTTTTCATCTAAGACTGGTGGAGTTTCTATCACTATCCCAAATTTTCCTGATACCATCATCATTACTTCCTGTCAAGTTCCAAAAGAATCTCATTTAATTTAACAAGAGCTAAAGTCAAATTGTTTAGCTACTATTTGAAACCAACAATATACAGTACATTGTATTCTCTTATACTAACCTCAAAGCATGCCATTGGTAATATGAAGTGTATTTTTACTTGGAAGATCCTGCCCATTTTATATTTGAAAGTGAGCAACATAGTTTCATATCTTTAGTTCATAATATTTTCCTAAGTTTTCCAACATGCTGTTGATTTTTAGAACATGCTGTTCTTTTCCTTCAGGTAATTACTTTTGAAATAATCCATGGGGCTATCAAGATGACAATAATTTGCATGATAATTATTGCTGTAGAAATCACTTCATGATTTTTTCATCGTTTTTATAATTTATTAAAAAACGAGGATCTTATGACTTTTTATGTTAAAAACACTCAAATTATTTTCAAATATTTTGAAATTGGCAAAATATAAAAAGATTTCTGCCAAACAAGTTTTACTTGAATTTTTAAATGTATGGGTTTTTGATGGAAACTTAATCCATATGTTTCTCATTCATTTACGATTAGCTGACAAAAATGTTGTTTTGTAAGAGTTTGATATCCATTATTTTTAAAAATATGCTTATTACTTTTCTTTTAGCTACACAATGTTGAAAGGAAACCTATTCAATAATTTGAGATTTGTATTTTCTTATTCTATTTTTGGATTCAAGTGGCATGTTACATTAAAATTCAGGAAAGACATTTGTCAAATGACACATTCTATAAGGACACTCTGAACTTAATATCTCATTTGATGAAAGACCATTTGTACCACTTGAAGAACAATATATTCCTCATGATTTCTCCATATGCTGAAAATGAAATGGCATTACCACTCCTACCTAACAATTATCAACATTACATCTGTCACTTTCTGCTTGGTGTTTTAAACACATGATTTGCTAAACTCCAAATGGCAGGAAAATTATATCTTGTTGCCCACGGTTCACAGACAGGAAAGTCAACAGGCCCACCCTTCTTGCTCTAAGGAGCATTTACTAATATAACATAGGAAAGTACTTAAGTTGCAAACACTGTATGCATGTATCTGTAAGTACATACGTGTGTGTTTGTCAGTTGATCTCTGCGTAAGAAACATCAATGTGCATAAGACCTAAAATGCTCTGATGATCTTTTAGTTCTACAATCTGGAACTTGAAGCTTCCTAGTACTCCACATAAAGGAAACGGTCATGAGAAATGTTTTAAGCTCTAGGTATGGATCTCACTAACATCTCCTCCCTCCATTGGCATGACTTAAGTATATGATGTACTAAAAAACAGTCCACTATTGTGGTCATCAAATTGTTTTATTCTTTCCATGTGTTTAGCATATTTTTACCTCGCCAAAGGAGTCACTTCTATCCAGTCCTTTCTCACCATTGACTATATGACTAAAAACGAGGATCATAGGAAATGTGTGGTGATCTAGATATTGCCATTGTTGACCCAAGAACCTGTCAATTAAAATGTCCCATTGCCTGTTGGGAGCCCTGTATGAACTATGGACATTGTTTGAGCCATTAAGGCAGGAAAGTTGCTTTGCTGTGAATTCCTGAGTGAAATTCCCCATTTGAGAAAGTCCCATTCACTGCCAACCTGCCTTAGCTCACAGCCTTAGGTTCAAACACCCATCCAGAGATAGGAATGACCTGCCAATTTACCTCAAGATTCCTCCCTCACTGAAACCTTTGATACACTTCCCCTGTTGAATCTAATTTTTGGCTTTGTCTTTTATTCTTTACTGATTATTCAGACTTTTTATTTACCCGGGCAGCTCACACCTCCAAGTGGGAATCTGCTTTTCTGGGGTGCTGGTAACCCCAGGAATTGTCTACCAAAACATTCCTGACATAGGGAGAACACCTACAATAAATATACCAAATAGAGAGGAGAAAAATGGAAGACGTGAGCTGCACTTATTGGTAGAAACTCTGAAATCTCACCGGGCACCATTTTGAAAGCACTTTGCTTTAGGATTGTGGAGAAAAAAAAAATCTCCAATGAATGTTCTCATAAACTCCAGGTCCTGAGGGGGTACTCTTCTCTTTGTCCATGAATCTACCATGCATATGGAATCCCCTGTCCATGAATTCTCTACTCGGAGAATGGGAGTTCCTTAGGTAATCCCTGCCTCCTGGCAATGGAAACCCAAGTCTTGTTTGGGTGTTAAATTGTCAGATATTTTTGACAATATACTACTGCTGAAACTTTAGTAGGTTTCTGATATATGTATTTCTAGTCAGTTCCTTGTGTCAGAAATCACATTTCTCTCCTTAGTTTTAATATGACAGCTAATTTTCTATCATCATTCCTATGTCTGCTCCATATCTATATGCATCACTATACACACACATACAAACACACACATATGTGTCTGTGTGTGTGTATGTGTGTATATATATATGTACCACTATTAGATGTATATATATGTACCACCATATATATATAGATAGATATAGATATAGATATAGATATATGGATATATATGTACCACTAAATATATGTACCTATATATATTTTTTTAAATAAAAAATTAAAATAAATGCACTATATATATATATGGTGGTACAATAAGCAGATGGGAAAGAGACTTTAATTCTCTTTCCCTAAGATCCTTTATCCAGCTGGGACTTGTATCAAACCACAGTTCCAGTCTGTCCTTTGCTCCATGTGAGTTTATCCAACTCATGAACATTACATGACTTTGTTCTTCAAAGTTCTGTAAACCTAGCCCTTACTGTTTAAAATTTAATGTTGCAAAGGTAAAATTTATGCTTATAAACCAGCCAATCCATTTCCAAACTTCTTTTTCTTTCAATGATTTAAGTGTAGTTAATGTCCACACCCACATATCTATGCTTCTATTTTATTCATTTACATTTCTTAGTTTTTTAGGATTCCTCCCAAGTGACTACCGATCTAGTATTACTAAATGTCTTCTGACCTTGTAACACTGATGACCATCTTTCTAATTTCTAATACATGAGCCTTCTGTATTTGCTGTGATCTCTCAACTAATGCCACATGTTTTCATTTTGTTTTATGTTTTCCGTATTAGTCAGGATAGGACAGACTGTATTGCAATAACAAATATACTTTGACATTTCACTGGATTAATGTAATAAAAGTTAATTTCTAGTTCATGTCAAGCCCGATACGGATGCAGGGTCTCTGTGTTTTCCTCAACACATCCTCCCTAAGCAATTACTCAGACAACAAGCTGCTTCCAATTTACAGTTTTGTGATCTGAGCCAAGAGGCAGTGAGGGATGAGAAAAGAGAATTAGAGCACCCCATCAGTTATTGTTAAAGGCTGTATAATGGCAGTGTCTGACACCATCTTTAACATCTCCATATCCACTGGTTAGAAGTTCGCCATACAGCACCAACATGTACTCAAGGAGCCTGAGCTTCAGAGATCATCATAGGGGAAGTACCTAGTGCTTTATGTCATGATACATATGAAAAGTCTTAATCTTTTATAAGGCACTTCATCATTTTATACTTAATATTCAGATTGTTATAAGAGGCTGGACAGTAATTCTGGTAGCTCAGGCACTCACATTCACATGTTAGGAGATCAGCATTAGGGGCTCAATTACAACTTGATTTGGGAGATTTTGGGCCTGTCAATTTCAGGATAGTGAACACCTTGAAAGAAGGAGTAAAGAGGAAAATACTACAAAGAATGGAATAGGAGGCTCAATTGCATTGGTACTGATTTGAAACACATTCACAAATTATTTGATCATCTTCTCATTAACAGGTGGAGCTAGCACTTCCTCCTAGTGAATAAAATACAGTGGAAATGACAGGTGTGACCTAGAGAAGGTTGACCAGCAAAGACATTTGCAGTTTTTATCTTGCTCATTATCTCAGGTCACTGTCTGAGAAAAGAGGCTAACTGACCTGGGACGACAACCAAGTGTCCTTGCAGAAAGATACATGTGGAGAGGAACAGACAGGCCCTCTCTCCCAGCCATGTGAGTGAGCAACCTTGGAACTCACTTCTCTAGCCTCAGGGAAAGTTTCAGATGACTGCAGCTCTGGCAATAACCTTATGAGAGACCTCAAGCCAGAACCACCCAGCAAGGCTACTCCCTAATTCCTGAACCACAGAAACTGTGATAAATGTTTATGGTTTTAAGCCACTAATATTGGGAGCAATTTATTAGACAGCAACTGATAAATAATTCAACATCTGTAATATTTTATATCCAGAAAATCTAAAAAAAAACTGTGAATATAGTGTCAATCAGGGTAGATGATAATTACATGTATAACAACTTGCTTATTCAACCCTTAAGTTGAACTTAACTGTGTGCCATTCATTGTTCTACATGGCTTGCAAAAATGAAATATGTGGATATTCAAAACCAAACTATGTGAAATTTACTATAGTGATCTCACCTTTACAGATGAGTGAACTACCAACTAGAAAGGTTAGAAAGCTTTTCAGAGGTCACTAATGAATAAATGACACACAGAAAATTCATACTCGAGCAGTGTTTCTACATGGTTTGTGCTCTTAGCAATTAACATTATTTTATGAGTTATAATGAAATGTGTTGCTTATAAATTTTTAAATATTTTATAATTTAAATTATAAAAATTACATGATGAGATCATTTTTCCATCATCTGATAGGCTTCTACACATACAAAGACATGGGTTTTATCTTGGTTACCCTTATAGGCAAAAGCAAAAAAATTTAAAAAATGAAAATAAATTATTTATAAGGGAAAAAAAGTAAAGAAAAGGAATTCTCTATTTAGCACCAACTCAAGAAACAATTTCTTTCCTTCTTTAAACCTTAAAGCCATAACTTCTGACTTCCATGATTCATAAGTAGAATAATTTGGAATTTGTTGTATTGGAGAAAAAAAAATATTAGTGGAACAAGTGATTGTAGATGAGGAAAATGAGGCTGCTTGGTTGCTGTTATCTCTATGGCTTGGGGAACTAACTTTTTTGTATCTGAGAATCAGCTATGAAATTGTCATTTTTATCTTTACCTAAATTCAGCATTCACATCTGGCCTCATATGGACTTATATTATCATCATCTTTTCTGAATCAAAGAGACAAGCCTATCCTGTTGGCATTAGAAACTAAGGAGGTTCCAGGTAAATTCAAAACCTTACTGATAAAAGCCTATTTAAAATAAGCCCTTCTTCATAAGGAATTGCAGTAATTCAAAGGGGTAAAAAAATCATAGGTGCCATACAGTGCTTGAATGTATCTCTAAGCTCAGCTTGGATTAACCCAATGCAAGCATGAAAAACTACTGAAATTTAACAGACTTGATTTGCTATAAAACTATGTGAAACATTGGAATAATGGGCCCATTATCTCACCTTATCTAAGGCAGTAGATTTGGGTTTTCTGGAGATACATTAGGAATCTATCAAGGCAACAATGCAAGGCACAAATCTTTGCTATATTCATTATTGCCAGGTAATTAACCTGCTCAGTAATTCAAAATTGTTTATTGAGAACTACAATATGAAGCCAGTATGCTGTCTTCAGGGTATAAAGTGTCAGCCAAAGAGGGGATACTTTAACTGGAATGACAGTAAATAGGAGATTAGAATCTAGTATGAGAAATGTTCTTGAAAGAACATATTATGTCTTGAGGGCAAAAAAGGGAAATAGTTAAATTTAAATATCATGAATTTAAGTATCAAGAATAGAAGAAAGAGCTGGGGATGTGGCTCAAGCGGTAGCGCACTTGCCTGGCATGCGTGCGGCCCGGGTTCAATCCTCAGCACCACATACCAACAAAGATGTTGTGTCTGCCGAAAACTAAAAAATGAATATTAAAAAAAATTCTCTCTCTCTCTCTCTCTCTCTCTTTCTCTCTCTCCTCTCTCACTCTCTCTAAAAAATAAAGAATAGAAGAAAGAAGGTAGCAATGCAAAAATCAGTGAAAAAAATCCCTGGAATAACTGATAATGAATTGGAAAAAGATGATGTTTCACTTGCCATGAAGGTTAGTACCAAGTCAATTTTTAAAATGTTTTACACCTGGGAGCAGTGGCTCTCCCCTATCATCCCAGCTGCTCCTTGGCTGAGATAGGAGGATCTCAAGTTGAAAGCCAGCCTCAACATCAGTCAGGCACTAAGCAACTCAGTGAGACCCTGTTTACAAATAAAATATAGTTAAGTTCAGTCCCCGGTACCCCTCACCCCCCCCCC